CTCCACTAATGAAAAGAGATCTTCACCCCTGTTTTGCTTAGAAAACAAACAAACAAAAAAAATCCATGTTTTTGGGGGGATTAGACCCCTTAAAGGAGGAAGAATGCCTAGTTTTAAGGATTGTGATGCATTTAGTGTCAGATGGGTGCACAGATGCTTATCCCAAGTCCAGGTTACTTCTGAGAAAGGCAAAACTGTGGGGCTGTTCAGAGGTTACGTGTTTGTGTTCAGATTTCTGAGGCTTATACAGGTATCTGGATTTTGTCTCAGTTTCTTCTAGCATTTGAGCCTTTCTGTGGCTCTGAGGTTTAATTTAACTGTGGGAAGATGGTTGCGGGGGAAGCACTTTGGAAGTATGTTTAGTGGGAATTGCACTAAACAGGGGGCTTTCTTCAAGTAACCACAACTGCTTGAGAAGACTTGTTGATTGCCATTGTTCCTTTATTTCTAGAATCTCAGCACCAGTGAAGGTGTCAGTAAGGAGATGCATCACCTTCAGCGCATGTTCTTGCAGAATTGCTGGGAAATTCCTACTTATGGAGCAGCTTTTTTCACAGGACAGATATTCACCAAAGCAAGTTCAAGTAGCCATAAAGTCATCAAAGTGTATGTAGGAGTAAATGTAAAAGGGCTGCACCTCCTCAATATGGAAACAAAGGTCAGCTTAAATGTACTGCCAGTGATAACTATTAAACTTAATTCTGTTCTCTTAAAATTTTGTACTAGAAGTAATTTCACATCCAACTGTTTAGTTAAACTTGACTGAAAATTTCCAAGATTTTAAGATCTTTTAAAGTCACTACTAACAAAGTCTTGTATCAACTTTACTACTTTATAAACTACAACTACATTGTGGAATGTGCTTCTTTTAAGTCTGAATCCTGTCTAAGTGAACAAAGAAAAGTTCAGTCTGTAGGTATGGAGGATATTTTCTGAGTGACAGTTTCCTACATTTCATTGTAGGCTTTACTCCTCAGTCTAAAGTACGGTTGCTTTATGTGGCAGTTGGGAGATGGAGATACATGTTTCCAAATCCACAGTCTGGAAAACAAAATGAGCTTTATTGTGCATACCAAACAGGTAAGCATTATTATTTTTCATCCTTCATGTTCAATTATTTTTTCCTAAGTTAGTTGCGTCCCTGTTCTCTCTGGAGGTTGGCCACCCTTGCACAGTATAAAAGAAGCCCAAGCCAAGCCCCCACAGAAATTATTTTAAAACTTTCATATTAATATTTCAGAATGTTTGCTTGTTTTCCTAGCATGTGAAGGCTTCAGAATTCAAAATACATAAAATGCATCTGTAATCACTAGGGTAAACTTTTTTTAATTGAAACTGTTTGTTGCATGTGCCCAATCCCTCATACTCTAAGGATATTCCAAATACAGTGAGAACTACAGAGCTGGAGACGGTAACTTTGCGATTGAAACTAGCAGAGACTGAGAACTGCATTTGTCATATTCTCGATTGTCATTAGTTCTGAAATGCTGATAGAATTTAATTGCATACCTTTACATAGGCAGGTCTCGTGGTTAAACTTCTGATGAAATTAAATGGCCAGTTAATGCCAGCTGAAAGAAATGAATGATCGAAGGGAACAATAGTTACGAAGTGGCGTCTGATGGCTAAGCAAAAAACAACTTGTGTCTCATCGTAACAGAAGACTTCCATGTACATGAGTTTTACACAGTAGAAAAGTCAATTTGTACAGTTTTTTAACTTTGTACAGAAGCTGCATGGTTTATTTTTTTAAAAAACTATACAACATATCTATTATTTTTATAAATATTTTTGTGTTTCATATATAAACTATTGTAGGGCTTGAGCTTAACCAGTAAAGCTAATGAAATGTAAATGGTTTACCGAGTTGGACGAGTATGAATCCTGTAAAGCTTTTGTTCCCAGAGGACTATGGGACTATCAGTGCCATTAAGCAAGTGTCAGTTAACCTATTTACCTTTCATGTCATTCTGTGGAACATCAAGGAAGTATGGTATATGTTACAGTATTTTGTAGACACACTTAATTTTTAAGATATGTCGATAAATATGCTTAAAAGACCAGTTAGACCTTTGAGCAAGTACTTTTGATAAACTCTTGGTTTTTGTTTGGTTTCTGGCAAACATTTTTGCTTGCTTTATTTTTACTCTTAACTTTCTCATACTTTGTATTCATATTTATTCTAAAATGTTGCATGAGGATGCCAAAAGGGAAATACTCTAAATCATTCAGAAGCCATATTGAATGTTTAGCATGCTTGTTTTTTAAAATGGATTTTTACTTTTACTGTGCAATATAAAATGTGTATATGGAGGAGAGGGAGATACGGATTTACAAATGAACCTTACTCAGAGGACTTCAGAAAGTTAAAATAAATCCTACCCTGGATTGCAACACATATGCAGTAGCAAAAACTCATATAGGACGTACTAAATTATTTCTGTTAAACTAATTTTCCTACTGATTGCTTACTTCAGTTTCTTGAGGCTGTGAGCAGTGCAGGATGCAGAAATGAAGATTTATATTGCAAGGAAGCCAGATACAGTTTTAAGTATTCTGCCTGCTCTTTGTAGAGTCAGGACTGGGGCTCAACATGTTGGGTCCCAAGCGTAAGGTGGGATTCTATGCAGTCTGAAACATATCCTTGTACATTAAAATAGAATCCGTAACACAAATTGTTAAAGTTTCTGGTTGTATTTCAGGGTTTTAAGTGCACTTGACTATTTCTTCCATGTAAACTGCATGCTAAAATAGTGTGCAATATTTTGTAAAATAATTTTTTTTTTAAAATAAAAATTAGCACTTGCCTCTCAGTTTTGAAATAAAAGTTAAAATGAATGTGAAGAACTGTGCTATTGTATAGTAACTTTACTCTTACCTTACTACTAGTAAGTGCAGTTTAAGAAATTAAAGTAGTAAGCCGTTAAAAAGGTGAACAGGAGACTTATATTTTGTATTCTTCTTAGCAAGCTATACTTTTCTACTTAAAAGTCACTGGCCTAAATAACAGTAAATCTTCATGGATTGTTATATTTTATTTAAGGTAAATAATGCAACAGTCGGATCCTTCATAGTGCATCCCTCCTATCACTTGGCACTGGTATCAGAAATACATTTCTCTACATAGCACTTTCTTAGAAAACTAGAGGAAAATGTTAAGACAGTGTGTCAGTTGCCTATTTAACAATACAATTAATATGCCTTATTGCTGTATAGTCCTTTCTGCTACATTCGTATTTATTACTACCTAATAAATTGTTTGCAACAAGTCACATCTGGTGTTTTTATTTTTGTAATCAGCATGAGCCATCAAATGTTACACCAAGCAGGTGTTATTACCAAAGAGCAGGAAGTTGTAACAGGCTCATCTTTGTAGGGTATGTAGGAAGACCATTGGAGAGGATCGTGGGGAGAGTCCCATGGTGACTATGAATTAAGGTAGCGCTCCTCAGAAACCACTCCAGAATTCATCAGGTAAACTGGAAACTGTTAGTCGTGGCAAAGCAGAGGTTTGCAGATGATGCACATCAGTGGAGCCATTGAGAGCCCAACTCAGCAGTCCCAGCAGGCACCCGGGTACTTCGAGCTCCTGCTGGCTGGCTGGTATAATCCTTTCATCTGGAAGCGGGGAAATGAAAAATTGGAACAGAGGGAAATCCAACACCACACAGACACACCATTGGTAACAACCCTGGTATCTCTACCAAACAAAAACCCAATGAAAACAAGCTGCAAGATGGGCAAATCTGATAATTGTGCCTTTGTAAGCATGAGATGCCCAGCTCACCACTTACAGTCCATGTAACAAGTGCTTTTTTAAAAAGCAAGTAACTGTGCAGCTGCCAAAAGCAAAGATTTGAGAGTTGAACGCCCCAGCCAGGCCCTGTAAGGCAGAAGAGTAACTGAAAACTTAAAACTGTGGGAAGCAGGCACAGTTTTACCAAGTGGAATAACCGAGCGCCTGACCCCAGTGAGCAGCTTGTGCGAGAGGAAGGCCTTGGTCCAGAGGGGAACCCTTCAGGCTCCCTCAGTGTTGTGCAGCTGCTGCTTGGTGACAGGGAACAGTTACTCCAGGGAGGGAGAGGTTTGTTAGCTTACAGCTGGATACACTTCAAAAATGGGCTGTAATGAAAAAGATACAGGCTCAACAGAAACAACATGTGTGGTTTGCAAAAGTTCTCCTTTACCTTAAATAATCATTATTAATGTGGGGTAAAGATATAATAAGTTGAAATGTAATTAATATAACAATTACACATCATCATGGCTGGGCTTTGCGAAAGAAGATTTGGGAAGGGCTCTACCCACATTTGTTACAAGCACGCTGGTGGCAAAAAAGGCCAATACGAGACAGGCATGTCGGGTTGCAAAATGCACAGCATTTACCACTCCTTAGGTGGTAAATTCTGCAAGACACGATTCTTTCTGTGTTGTCTTTTCTCCTCGAGAGTGATCCTGTGTGCGTTCTCAAAGGCATCAGCAGCGTTACAGATGGTGTGTCTCCAGGCCTCCCAGTTTGAGGCCAGAGTAGATCAGTTATGTTGATCAATATGGCCAAGGCTGAGATGTTGTTTCAGGGAGTCCTTGTATCTTTTCTTGGGGGCTCCTCTCTTGCGGCAGCCGGGGGCAAGTTCACCATAGAGCAGGATCTTAGGGAGGCAGTGGTCCTTCATCCTGGAGACGTGCCCTGCCCAGTGCAGCTGTGTTCTCAGCAACATGGCCTCAATACTTGTGACTGCTGCTTGTTCTAGAACAGACGTATTGGTCACATAATCTGACCAGTGGATGTTTAGGATTGTACAGAGGCAGCGTTGATGGAAGCGTTCTAGGAGTCGCAGGTGGGACAATTACACAATAATGAAATAAAACCATTGCATTCAAATACAGGTAATTAATTCTGGAAATCCTTAGAAGAGTAGACTGACACTGTTGCCACCAGGAACATCCTTACTTCATAAACCAGCAGTACAGAATGTCAGTGACAGCCAGTGACATCTGTCATGTCTCCTGAAGGAATTGTAAATATTAAGTAACTCTTTCACAACTACAGCACTGATGAATTTCTGTTTGCATCAGAAAGTGTTGAAACTTCAGATCTTGCAAGCAACAAATTGAAAACTGTACTAGATCTTGTGGCTGATATGAAGAGTTTGAAGGTACTTAACTGATTCCACACCCATCTCAGCATTCGCAAGCATTCTCTGCTACCTCCCACAGCTAGTAAAACTCAGCACACGTGAGACCTTGATTTAGGGTTTACCAAAGGAGATTACACACTTTAAGAAATTAAAGAGTGTTCTAGTCAGTAACAATACGTTTATGGTTTTGCCTGTGCACCTTTTCCAGTTGACAAAACTAAAATTTAGGTTTCTGAACTTTGCAAAAAAAATTATTTAAAAGCATTACAAGTAAACTTCGCAACTATAGCCTGTTGAAATGTCTCATACATTATAATGAACCCAGCTTCCTGCCAATATTCCCAGATTTACAAATGTAAAGGAGTTTTTTTTAAGTAGAAACTGACTGGACTCACTGGATGAACAAACTCTGCCTTTAAAAGACCTCTCTATAACAGATTTTTCTGGAAATGTATTAAGATACATTCCTTTTGAATGAAGAAAATTGTATACGGACAACCAGACCTGACCTCGGCAGCGACGAGCTCTCTCAGTTTCCAAATGCGCTATGTGCACTATTTGATCTTAAGCTCTTAGATCTTAGTGGCAACTCTTATTTCAGAAGCAGTACCCGGATTCTCTGACATTAAAGATTTGGGGCATCTACAATTAAACACAAACGACCTGTCCTCCTCCTCCGCGTGCTGTGCTGCCTTACGAACCAGCGCACGGGGCTGTCAGGGGGGACGCCGGCGGTGACGCTCGCCTGGAGCGCCGGCACACCGCCGCAGGACCGTGTTCCCCGGGTGTCGGAGGTTACACACCCCCTCGGCACACCCGCTTTGGCGCCGCTGGGCGCGGGGGCCGCCCCCATTCCCGCGGCCCGGCCCCCGCCCAATGGCGCCCGGCGCAGCCCGGGCGATGCCGTCACCCCGCGCGGCGCGGCCGCGGGTTGGCTCCGGCGCCGGGAATCGTCACATGGGCAGAGATCAGCCCAGCGCCGGGAATCGTCACCCGGGCTCGGATCAGCCCAGCGCTGGGGGTGGGGCCACCTCGCTCCGCCCTGGCCTGCCCCGCGGCACCGACCTGAGCCGAGCGGAGCCCCGGCGGATGGCGCGGGTGGCCGAGGAGATGCTGAGCCTGATGGAGGTCGGCGGGTCCCTGCTGGAGCGGGTGGCCGTCGGCAATCCCCTTTCCCTGGTGCTGGCAGCCTCCGCCTTCGCGCTCAGCCTCGGGTACCTGTTCCAGCTGGGGTACCGGCGCCACCTTGGAGCCGACCAGAAGGTAAGGGCTGGGAGAGGCGATGGGCCGGGCAGGGGACCCGGCGGGCTCCGCCGCTCTCCCACGAAGGGTGATCCCTGCGGGGCAGGGGAGCCGGGCGCTGTCCCTTTAGGGTGCGGGCGGGGGAGGAGAGAGGCGCTCACCTCGGGACTGCCCTTCTTGGGAGCGCACGGGAAGGGGTCTTGGAATCCAAGTGTGTGGGAACCGGCTCAGGAAGGCGAGGAGCGTTTCCAGCAGCAGCCCCAGGGCGGTTTCTGGCAGGAGTGGTTGTGGCTTCACCCTGGGCCCCGCTGGTTGGTACCGCGGGAGGCGGAGGCGCTCAGACCTTGGAGAGGCAAAGGCCGTTCCCGATGCTGTTTTATCGATGGAGCTTAAAAGAAGACGCCCATTTATCTGCGAAACCCATTCCTAACCTGAAGCTCTGTGCTTTTGGGACGCTGCTTAACCAATTGTCAGCACTGTTTTGTGAGTGCCTTCTTTTAAATTGCAGTACCTTTCAGAGGCAGCATACAAGAATCTTGATCGTATTCACTTTATTTTAATCCTTGCTGCTTTCAAATGCGGCTCAATTTGAAAAAATAATCAGTTGTCCAATGTTGACCTTTTCACAAAAGAGTTTAAACAAACATGTATAAAGCGTCCTCTGCGGTTAGTTTTTATATAAATAGACATTATTTTATTACTTCTGGGCACTGGGACATGCCAGGGAAGTGGTCAGAGCACCAAGCCTGCCACAGTTCCAGAAGCGTTTGGACAATGCTCTCAGGCACATGGTGTGACTCTTGGGGCTGTTCTGTGTAGGGCCAGGAGTTGGACTTCGATCCTTGTGGGTCCTTTCCAACTCAGAATATTCTATTATTCCATGATTCTGCAATACTCTCTGAAGAAAATTCAATAATTATTTTTCTCTTTCTTCCTCAGAAATACCCACCTTTTATTTCATCAGGCATCCCTTTCCTTGGACATGCAATCGCATTTGGAAAAAGTCCCATTGAATTTTTGGAAAATGCTTATGACAAAGTATGTTTTCCCCCATGACTGGCTGAGCATATGCTAAAATATTTTTGTGTATCTATCAAGTTCTCTCTCTGGAGCCTGTTTAAAATCAGTTCATTCTCACTTACCATCTTGAATATAGAACAGAGTGTGCGCAGTAGGCTCTGGTATCTTCAGATCTCTTTATGTACATTGTTGTTAGAGAAGTAGTGTTTTCTGAGCTCTCTCTTGTGATTCACATGTAAAAAATATGTTTGTATATTTGGGTAATACTCATAGCTGGATCACAAGTTAATTAAAAAGCCATTTTAATGACATTATTTTCTGCCTTAATTCATATCTTTTAATCACATTCTTTACTAATCTGTGACCAGACTGGAATGTAGCTGACCACCTCTGAGGCAACTTGATGAATTTTAAGGCCTTGCCAATGTTAAAAGGGCTGGTAAACCTTAGTAGTTTTTATACTATAACAGCCCAAAAGAAATTAACTAAGTGAGTAGAGCCTTAATTCCAATTTAATTAGATTCTGCATGAAGGTTTGCTGGAGATGACTTTTAAATTTTAAAACCTTATTTGCTCTTAATTACCTATGCATAACTCCAAATCCAGATTTTTTTGAGACAGTGTTTGTAGATTACCGGAGGCAGTATATGCTGTCATCTCCCTGCTAGTTTTTGTAGTGTCGCTGATCTTTTATTTATGTTTTTTAAATGGTTTCAAAATGTGCAAGATCACATATGTTCATTATAACATTAGATATCACTAGTAAGTATATTGAGCACAAAATTTAAATGTGGTTTAAAATATTTATATCTTTATTAAATCTGTAGATCTGTGGATCCACTTCTTAGGAGAGAAAGTAATTTATTATGGAAGACTGTACATAGAGATAGGGATTTAATGATTTGTGTTCTTCTTATTTAAAATATTTTTTTTTTTATTTTTCTCTCTAAGTATGGACCTGTGTTCAGTTTCACTATGGTTGGCAAGACGTTCACGTACTTACTGGGTAGTGATGCTGCTGCTCTACTGTTCAACAGTAAAAATGAAGATTTGAATGCAGAGGATGTATACTCTCGGTTAACTACACCAGTTTTTGGAAAAGGAGTTGCTTATGATGTGCCTAATGCGGTATGTATTTTAAAGATAAGATGAATGGAAACGTAGTGTAATTTGACTTCTGAGTAGGCAGCCCTGAGCTCTTGGCTCTGTATGATGGGGTTGTGTGTTCATATGCAATTCTGGCATATTGCAGTAGGTAAATAGTCTCATTTGGATAATCAAGACTGAGCATGGTCAGGTTGCTTTCTTTACCACCTGGCCACTGTTCTGTCTGGGTGTTATATTTTGTTCTTGAAATCATCTAATCATAGAGGAAAAACTAGTAAGTGAGTCACTTTTTCCTTCCCTTGCAGCCACCACTGACTGCAGATGACTTTTCCTTTCCAGGCAACTTTAGGTTTTTTTTCTGAGACAGCTTTTAAGAGTGATAACTGTTCATTCAATGCCATGACAAATCTAGACGCAGAAGTAATAATTTAATAGTTTGTACCACAACGTTTGTCTTGCTCAGGCAAAAATCATTCTGTATGTGTTTGCAGAATACAGTCTGCATGGGAAGCACAGAAGCTGTGTCACGTACCATTGTGTCTGAGCTAAGCGTTGGTGGCTTTCTTGTTTGTGAGTGTGAGCTGTTATGTCAGACTCCCAACTGCAGAAGGGACTGTGGAGAGACTTGCTCCACCGGGACTCTGTTCAGTGCATGTTGACATCAGCAGCCTGTTGTACAGCAGAGTAGTTTGGTGCCAGAAACACCACTGTGATATTTTTTGATTTTTAGTTTTGGCCTGATTTTGTGTATATAAATGCCAGTTATTTGACTGGTAATAGTTTCTGTGACCATCAATTCTTTTCCTCCTTAGCATGCCTCTTCATTTTTCCTTACCTACTTGGGTGATTGTTACCCTATTAATTATGTGGCTTAGGAGCAGTAATCATTACTCACTTTGCCTCTACACCTGCATTTTGCCATGATCCACAAAGTATGTATGTTGTTCTTATCCCGTTCTTTTGGGAATCTCATATACATCTTGCTACTTTGTAAATAAGTAAGGGAGAACTTGGTTGTCTCCTGCTTTGTAAGGATGTATTAAATTGTGGATAAGGAGTGTTAAAAAGTTTGGGGTAAGGATTGGTTGTTTGGGTGGTGGGTTCTTTTGCCCTTCACAGATTTGCATAGCTCCTCCCTTTGAGAATGAAACTAGCAGGACTGCAGCCTGGACAGCAAGTAGGAGATCGTTTCTTGTGTCCTACGAGAGCTCTTCCACAAATGGGGCCATTCTAACAGACTTGTTTCTACCAGTTCCAATAGTAGGAGGTCTTTCTCGAGAAGCCAGGGATGGAGTTTTGAATTCCTTTTGCAGCTGCTGGAGTGTAGAGGGTGCATGATTCTCTGCAATACATCTTTCATGTTCTTCTCTGCTTCGTAATAGTTCCAGAAAAAGTGTCTGTGAATCAGATATAGACTGCTGAATTGGCCAGATTTTCACTGTGTTGTGCTTCTTCTTTGGATTCTAACTGTCACAGGATGTCTGCTTGAAACTGAAAGGTGATGGTTTGTCCTTAATTCTGTGAAAGTTTGCCCACTTGTTACAGCTGTTTTGACTTCTGCTTTCACACTCTGCAGTTTGTGGATAGATTTGAATGCCTTCATTCAAGGGCTAGTTCTTTGATGGGATCTAATCTCATCTGTCAGGAGTTTTATAGAACTTTCAGTAAGCTCCTTGGAAATGGACAATTTTTACAACTGTGTACCTCAGGCATATAGGGATGATTAAAGCCTTCTACCTCAAAAGTCCACCATAGACAGCTTTTTTTTTTTCTTTTTCTGAAATGAGGTCTTTTCGTAGAGTTACCCTAGGGGGTTTTTTTCCCCCTAAAATGTGTTTGAGTCCAGTCAAGAGAATAATCTTGCCATGTTACTTAGTAAGCCTTGGGTGTCTGTGGATATGTCTATTTAATTTATATCTTTGATACCAGAAGGACCTTTTCCTTATTTTCTCTGCAGATTCAGGTTCCTCAGAAAATTGCCTTTTTTCCACAAAAAAAATTGCCATTTTTCTCCCACAAAGATTACTTTTCTTCCTACAACAGGGAGTTGCAGGGACTTTGCTATTGACATACACTGATTATCTCTAGTTTCCCTCTATGAAGGTAGGTATGCTCAGTTGTGGCTAGACTGCCTTCTGCCAGAGGTGAGCTGTTTTTTTGCACAGTGTTACCCCCACCATTTCATTTCAGACATCTAATGGGAAGGCATTTAGAGAGCCATGGAAAATTTCATTGGCATTCTACAGTTGATGGATCATCCCAAACTTTCTTTTGAGACTCCCTTCTCTCTGCTTAAGCTTTTAAGTGTCTCTTCATTCTGACAGTGACTTTCAGTCACATGTTTAGAAGAACCACCCCTTACTCTTTAA